AGAAATCACACCAGACTAGTCTATATACAGGACTATGAGACTACAGTACCCGAAACATATTTCTACGTAAGCTGTATGTTATCTAAAATAAGCTACAAGTTGAAATTTGATGGGCAGGTATTTTCGTTTGTTTATCTTTAAAGATAAAAAATCTATGAATGGCCCTTAGAAATTAAATGTGCTATTAGTATACCCGGGTAAATAGACTGTAGCGTGGAGTCGAGCCGAAATTGACTATGAACACCGCTACAGAGAATCCCGCGGAAGCCAAATATCAGAAGGCAGTTAATGAATCAAGTCGAGATATATTTGCTGGCGATCTCGTGGTATCAAAAGGATACTGAGATCGTGCCAGGATACAAGCTTGGTTACAGAACGCAACCGAATTCGCGCGAAGTCACAATCAAAGTGTGTGAATAATGGATGCTTTTTAGCACAGTTAAACAAAAGCACATTAAAACAGTCACTGGTACAATTGGTTATAATAATAATTGTTTTCAATAAACCAATCGTGTTCTCGTGATAAAAGTGAGTCACTACAAGACTATGGAAAATATTCTACATTCTATTAACAAATAGCATACTCCATATTTATTAGCATATTGAAACGATGGCAACTGGAACGTTTATACTTCCGGTCCGTGCTTCATCAACTGTTCCCAGAACTCTCGTGCAACGCTGAGGCGCTTTGTTATTCACCAGTGGGTGATGCCGATCCTAACAACCTTCGATGTTACACACGAGATGTATTTTACAACCCACTGATCTGTGGCTTCTTCGAGGACAGGAAAAACATAAGACTTTCTCTTCAGCCTTCGCTCAACTATCATTGACTACTAATGTAGAGAATCGTGAACATTTATCAATTATGTGACTTTCTTCGCATATTACACGTAATGGATTGATACCAATTTTATAGAACGACAGCTTTTATGTGAAACAGACTACCTTGCTAAAAATTCGTTTTCACTAATTCTATAATTCTAACCACAAATTAAAATTTTCAGAACAACCCACTGTGTCCAACTAAGGTGACTTGGAATTTTAGCTTTTCTTAAAGACATCAGGATTGTGCTTACTGTGGGTAACATTATACCACAGGTATAAGTTACATCTGATCCTTAAGCTGGGAACAACAATTAAATCTACTACTCTGATGAGTTACATCAGCCTCTTTTATCGACAGATTTACACAAACGAAAAGGTTATGAAACTTAAAAAGACAGTACTCGCATACGAAAAACGAGAGTTAGATTATCTAAAAGTAACTACTTTTGTTAATAACTAAAATGTTTGTAAGAAAAACGTCTGTTAGGATGTTTTTATTTAAAACGCACTTGATAGCTTTAGTTACAGGTAAAACAAAATACGAAGATTTGAAAAATACCACCTCCTTCTAAATTTGCTGTGGTTGTTTGACAAGAACAAAGCCAAAAGGTTACTTTTAGTTTGGGCAGTCAAAATTGCAGTTAATCTAACTCCCTTGTGAATATGCTATTTTAAAAAATCGTATCCATGTATTATGTCAACGAGTATTGCTTCTTGTTTGGTAAAATGATTTACTCCATAAAACATCTCTTGAGGGGAAAACATTTTGGTAGCTTTAGTCAGTAGTTGATAACTTGACAACAACTTGTTGTCTTAAGATGTCATGGATATACAGGGCTTGAGAACGATGTTATCTGTGACACCTTTATAATAGTTAATCTCAAACCCATCCAAATCAGAAGTCAGAAATTAAGATGTTTGAAGATATGTTTATAAGACGGTCAATGCGTCGAGAAGTATATAATCTCAACCGATTAGTTGTCGCGAGGAATGCGTTGCCCTGAGTACTTGGTTTTGATCTGATTCGGATGCGTGACCTAGCGCCACTAGCTAGGGTGTATCCAGTAAAATTAGTGAGGTCAGCACCAATGTGGAAGACTTACAGAACTATTTATTTCAGGGATTTATTGACCGTAACATATCCTTTAACAAATGTGGTCGTTTAATAATTGTGTAAAGGGTAATTTGTATTGTCTATCACATTATTTTGCTTTCAGTCATTTTTGAAATAAACGGATAAAGAGGAACGAGGGCTGAAATTTGATAACGTGTTTATTTGTCGTTGCTGTTGAAGAAACACCACCATTGTGTTTAAGACGATGAGTAAGATAGATTACTAGACGGTCCACAGTACAGAGGTTTTGTTTATTGAATAGAACTCTCAGAATGATAAAACTTACTACCGATAATGCTGTCAGGAGAAATTGTGCAATTTATAGTAAAAGACAACAGCGCCAAGGTTATATCATTACTGCACTGTCCTACAACATGGTCATATGTTTGTCTTTTCGTATCTTTGATAGATAGTGTAGTTTATAAAGGGAGCTCTATCAAGCATTGACACGGAAGTAAGTTTTAAGATGGTGAGTTTATTCAATGGTTAATATATGGTCACCGCCAGAAGTGAGAGCTTTTATATAATTCATCCTTTTTCAAGTGCTTCATTCGAAAACAAAATAGTATACTACTTTAGTGGCCTTTTATTTTGACGTCAATTAGATCGGACGATGTTGTCGACGGGCACACCACTTTTGTCGCCCAATATCTTATTCCAAATACATCATATGAATGATTGTTGTCAAAATATACATCTTGGCCATCCTCGTATATAATTATCGACTTAACTCGTGTATTTTGTACAATCATTGATCCAGGCAGACAATCAATTGAACGAAGCGAAGCGAAACGATGCGCCGTGAATTCATGTGAGCCAACTTGATTTAACCAAGCGTTAATCGATATTGATCGTCACGCAAAAATAAGTAACAGATATGTGATAAATGAGATAAGATGTACACACACATACGCTCATATAAAAACGGTCAGGTTTGATAAGTGAATAAGTGACAAGGTCAAAATATGATTTAAGAAGAATGAATGAATGAATGAATTGGCCTGTCCAGAAGCTAGAATAAGTTATGTAGTAGCCGACACTACACTCCCACCCAAGTGGTATGTTAGTTGGCCTATGATTTAAATCACTAGTTTTATATATGAAATGATAGTCATCGCTTAATTGAAAAAATGCATTCAGTTTATACATTAGGTAGCACTAGTGTGGACTACCAATATAAAACTAATAACCACCCCTATGAAAATTCGATAGGTCGTTTCGGTATTTAAGAGAATGCATTTTACCTCAAGGCAGTTAAAATAAACTAATATTTATTGTATTCAGAAGAAAAATATCAAGTCCGAAGTATAGAGATTGCAAGGAAGATTGTAGAGGCTCCCAATAAATGATAGGATGTTTCAGGATGATCACTAAATTGATAAGAATCATCATTTGTAAACGTACAGAATGGGAGTTCTAATCATCAGTTCTAGTGTCAGGAAAAATCTCAGCCTCTGTTGCACGAAACATGTTACAGATAAAGTAAACTATACAAATCAAGCTTAATAAGTGAATGATCACATATTTGATGATATGCTTAGTGAAAAGATCAATTGTAATACGTGTTTTAACCTAGTGTTCATTGAACTATTCGAAGAAGGATCTTGTAAAGTCTATGCATTTTTTTTAAACATATCTAACTTTATAATCAACCGCTTAATTACTTTTTCAGTTTGCTAGACCATATACTCTACGTCGCTCAAAATAATCGAACGACTCACTTAACAGTTTATTGATCCTCTGAAAGATTTAAAAAATGATACACACCATAAACTATAATATTAATAAGATACTAAACAAATGAATAAATAAATAAATAAATAACTAGTGACGGTCTTTAATAGGTAATTCCTGGAGTTCTAGTGAGACACCGTGGACAGTAGCGCTCAACCAGGTCTGTGGTGAAATAGTAACTCACAGATGACAATAATGGATGGTGGAGTAATCTCGTGGATTATTTGAAGTTAGACATTAACACCGTTGGATGCCTTAACAGTGGTCCAGTGGTTAAGCGCTCACACTTGAGACTGATATGTCCTAGGTCCGATGTCGTGGATGAGCCCTGCTGAGGAGTCTCACGACAGGACAAAACGGCCTTCCAGTGCTTCCAGGTTCCTCATGGTGGTCTAGCTTCAACTGATTCATGAATTTATCTACTAAAACTACTATAATATCCACAAAACTCCTCTCTGAAAACAAATATAACTAAGAACAACCATTGTATTTTTATTATTATAGGGGTTTTGGAGATTATTAAGATTTTAATTTAGATCATGAACCGATTGATGTTAGATCACCGTTGGAAACCTGGAAGCACTATTTTGAGCCGGCATCCAATGGTGTTTGTGTCTAACATCAACCAATCCACGAAATTGCGCGACTATCTTCCATTGTAATGAGTAGATACCTGTCTCTACCCGACACGGATTAGATTAACCGGTCATTGCTTCTCACTAGAACTCCGAGAATTCCTTCACTAGTGATCACATGGTAATTATCTTATTTTTTCTTCCCCCTAGTCTAATTAGAGCTATAAACTGAAGAAAATTGTATCGCACTCAAAATGTAAATGATGTTATTCTTATTATTATTATTACTATTATTATTATTATTATTATTAGTAGTAGTAGTAGTAGTAGTAGTAGTAGTGGTAGTAGTAGTATTAGTAGTAGTAGTAGTAGTAGTAGTAGTGGTAGTAGTAGTATTAGTAGTAGTAGTAGTAGTACCTGCATGTGCACTTGTCTCACCTTTGATTAATTTATCTCAGTGTAACATATTTCAACTTCACAAAGGTAATACATGTATATGCATAGTTATAAAAGAAAGCCTAATTGCCCTTGAAATTAAAGTAAATCAGAAGTTTTTAGAATACATACAGAATTAGGGGAGAAAATGATTCAATATTACAAGAAACTACTCATATAATTTAAAGTAGTAACATTTAAATTCCAAAAAAAGTGAATAAAAGAACAAATTGAATATTATTGTTAATAGGGTCTTTTTAACTGGGTTTTTTTTTAAAAATAGTTTTTAATCATTCAATCATTATGAGAATAAATTAAATAGAACATGGCGTTTTCCATATTAATACAGCGAATCTACCTAAACAAAAATGAAATAATGTATTTGGCTCATAACTAAATCTTCCCAAATGTTGATTAACCGATGTTATAATATGCCATGATTTACCATAACGTGTATCAAAATATTCTTTTAAACGTTGCATAGCTTGATCTAATTTCTCCATATCAATATTTGTTTTACGACCAGATTCACGTAGATCATCAATAAATAATTCCATAACTTTAACTTTCATTTCTAAATCCATATCATCGTATATCGTTTCTAAATCACGTGGCATTAATTGTTCTAATAATACTGTTGTACGTCGTCTTCGTATCTCGCGCCTTTTTTTCGGGGGGGGAGATAATAGTAAAAATAAAAAATTGATCAATGGTAGAAAGATAAACTTAAAAACTAAACGTTTGTTTATATACGAAGAGCGATGAAATCCAAATGCCTTAGTGTCCTTCACACAAAGAAGTGATATTCTGAATTGAATAATTTAGTAAATAATGTGTTGTTTTTTGAGGCTTATAAGTATTAAAATGTAGGCATATTCTACTGACAAGTTATGAATACGATGAAATATGCATCGTGGTTTCTAATTATCTACTTACTAACTTTACTTATGTCTGTTACTCCTCGTAGAGGAGCATAGGCCGCTCATCAGCATTCTCCACTTAACTCTGTCCTTGACAATCCTTTCCAATTGTTTTCAGTTGCTATTCATTTTCTTGATATTTGATTCCAATGCCCGATGCAATGTGTTTCTTGGTTTTCTTCCTTTTTTGTTTCCCTTCAGAATTATAAGTTAGCGCTTGCTTTGTGATGCAGTTTGATGATTTCCATAATATATTTTCTACCCACCTCCATCGTGTTTTCCTAATTTCCTCTTCAGTTGGATGATGATTCTTTCTCTTCCATAAAAGACTGTGACTAATGGTATCCGGCCAATGGATGTTGAGTATCTTGCATAGACAACTATTTATAAATACTTGTATCTTCATGATGATGGTTGTAGTAGTTCTCCAGGTTTAAGCTCCATACTGTAAAACTGCCTTGACGTTCGTATTGAAGATTCTCCCATTGATATTGGTTGAAAGTTGTTTTGAGTTCCATGTGTTCTTCAATTGTAGGAATTCGGCCCTTGCTTTGCCAATCCTCACCTTTATGTCTGCATCTGTTCCTCTTTGTTCATCGGTGATGATTATCTGGTAATTACTTACTTACTTACTTTCTTACGCCTGTTACTCCCAATGGAGCATAGGCCGCTGACCAGCATTCTCCAACCCACTCTGTCCTGGGCCTTCTTTTCTAGTTCCATCCAATTCTTGTTCATTTTTCTCATGTCTATCTCCAATTCTCGGCGTAATGTGTTCTTTGGTCTTCCTCTTCTCCTTCGGCCTTGAGGATTCCATGTGAGGGCTTGTCTTGTAACGCAGTTGGGTGCTTTCCTCAATGTGTGTCCTATCCACTTCCAGCGCTTCTTCCTGATTTCTTCCTCCACTGGGATCTGGTTTGTTCTCTCCCACAGTACGTTATTGCTAATAATGTCCGGCCAATGGATCTGAAGTATTTCGCGTAGACAATTGTCAATAAACACCTGTATTTTCTGGATGATGGCTTTTGTAGTTCTCTAGGTTTCTGCCCCATACAGTAGAACTGTCTTGACATTTGTATTGAAAATCCTGACCTTGGTGTTGGTTGACAGTTGCTTTGAGCTCCAGATGTTCTTCAGTTGTAAATATGCTGTTCTTGCTTTGCCGATCCGCGCCTTCACATCTGCATCAGATCCACCGTGTTCATCAATGATGCTGCCCAAATACGTAAAGGTTTTTACATCTTCCAAATCTTCTCTGTCAATTGTAATTGGATTGGTGCATGCTGTGTTGTATCGGAGAATCCTGCTTTTCCCTTTGTGTATATTGAGACCTATTGCTGCTGAGGCTGCTGTCACACGCTTTGTCTTCTCCTGCATCTGTTGTTGCGTTTGGGATAGAAGGGCTAGATCGTCTGCGAAGTCTAGATCATCCAACTGCATCTTAGATGTCCATTGTATCCCGCGCTTCCCTTCAGACGTTGACGTCTTCATGATCCAGTCGATCACCAGGAGAAAGAGAAAGGGTGAGAGTAAGCAACCTTGCCTAACACCGGTCTTCACTTCGAACGACGTTGTCAACTGTCCTCCATGCACAATTTTGCAGTGTAATCCATCATATGAGTTCTGTATGATATTGACTATCTTCTGAGGCACGCCGTAGTGTCGAAGAAGTTTCCATAGTGTTGTTCTGTCCACACTGTCAAATGCCTTTTCGTAGTCAATGAAGTTGATGTAGAGTGATGAATTCCATTCAATTGATTGTTCCACAATGATCCGTAGAATTGCGATTTGGTCTGTACACGATCTATCCTTAGGGAATCCTGCCTGTTGGTCACGAAGTTGGGCGTCTACGCAGTCCTTCATTCTGTTTAACAATACCCTGTTGAAGACTTTTCCCGGTATTGAGGTAATTGAAGGATCCTATATCTTCCAGACTTTTGCCAACAAGTGTGATTGGATTGCTGATCTCCGTGTTGTATTTGAGGACCTTGGTTTTCCACTTGTGTATGTTGAGGTCCACTGATGCAGAGACTGCTGCCACACTAGTTGTCTTTATCTGCATTTGTGCATGTGTATGCAATAGGAAGGCTAGGTGATCTGCGAAGTCCAAATCGTCTAATTGGTTCTGAGCTGTCCATTGTATGCCGTGTTTTCCTTCAGATGTCGAGGTCTTCACAATCCAGTCGACCACCAGAAGAAAGAGGAAGGGAGGGAGTAGACAGCCTTGTCTGACTCCGGTCCTTACTTGGAATGCATCTGTCAGCTGTCATCCATGCACGACTTTGCACTGTAGTCCGTCGTATGAGTTCCGGATAATATTGACAATCTTCTCAGAAACTCCGTAGTGTCGAAGAAGTTTCCATAACGTTCTCTTATCTACACTGTTAAACTCCCTTTCATAATCAATGAAGTTGATGTATAATGACAAGTTCCACTCAATTGGTTATTCGACGATGATCCGTAATGTTGCGATTTGGTCTGTGCACGACCGATCCTTACGGAATCCAGCTTGTTGATCTCGAAGTTGGGCGTCTACCGAATCTTTCATCAGGTTCAGCAGCACTCTGTTGAAAACCTTTCCTGATACTGACAGTGGTGTGATGCTTCTGTAGTTTTCACATACATTATAGATCATGCATTATGTCTGTCGACATAAGTAGCATACAGCACAATCTAACTTTAATGAAGATTATTTCTATTATATTAAATTTATTGATGCCTCGGAAAAATTGATATACTCTATATGCTATTCATAGTTTTAATTCTTATTAATTTTACAATAGCCTAGATAATAAACGAGTATTTGATTGAGATCATGAATCGGTAGATTTTAGACCACCAACACTGAGGATTCCTATACTAGGATGAAACGGCCGTCAAGTGTTTCCAGGTTTTCAATGGTGGTCTAACACCCATCGATTCATGATCTCAATCAAAAACTTAAAAATCTTCACAATCCCATACGGATAAACGAGTATTTAGTTACATTAATTATACAGATCAATTATAATTTACTTGAATGGATTTAACACATGTGAGTTGGCTGGCAACAAAGATAAGGAGTCAATTCTGGAATATACTTCAAGAAAGCAGTATGAATCGAAATTCCCTCAAAACAAAATTTTGAAATGCATCTTATATTTTATGCATTTAAGTGCACGTTATAGTCATTTGATTTTAGTATTATTCTAACATTTGAATAACGAGAAATCAACATGAGTGATATAAAATAACAAAGATTGCAGTGGTTAGGACTAAGTTTCGTAATACCTCATAAAATTAAAATCATGAATGATTATGATGATGATGAAGAAGAAGAATAAGAATAAGAAGAAGAAGAAGAAGAAGAAGAAGAAGAAGAAGATGATGATGATGATGATGATGATGATGATGATGATGATGATGATGATGATGATGATGATGATGATGATGATGATGATGATGATGATGATGATGATGATGATGATGATGATGATGATGATGATGATGATGATGATGATGATGATGATGATGATGATGATGATGATGATGATGATGATGATGATGATGATGATGATGATGATGATGATGATGATGATGATGATGATGATGATGATGATGATGATGATGATGATGATGATGATGATGATGATGATGATGATGATGATGATGATGATGATGATGATGATGATGATGATGATGATGATGATGATGATGATGATGATGATGATGATGATGATGATGATGATGATGATGATGATGATGATGATGATGATGATGATGATGATGATGATGATGATGATGATGATGATGATGATGATGATGATGATGATGATGATGATGATGATGATGATGATGATGATGATGATGATGATGATGATGATGATGATGATGATGATGATGATGATGATGATGATGATGATGATGATGATGATGATGATGATGATGATGATGATGATGATGATGATGATGATGATGATGATGATGATGATGATGATGATGATGATGATGATGATGATGATGATGATGATGATGATGATGATGATGATGATGATGATGATGATGATGATGATGATGATGATGATGATGATGATGATGATGATGATGATGATGATGATGATGATGATGATGATGATGATGATGATGATGATGATGATGATGATGATGATGATGATGATGATGATGATGATGATGATGATGATGATGATGATGATGATGATGATGATGATGATGATGATGATGATGATGATGATGATGATGATGATGATGATGATGATGATGATGATGATGATGATGATGATGATGATGATGATGATGATGATGATGATGATGATGATGATGATGATGATGATGATGATGATGATGATGATGATGATGATGATGATGATGATGATGATGATGATGATGATGATGATGATGATGATGATGATGATGATGATGATGATGATGATGATGATGATGATGATGATGATGATGATGATGATGATGATGATGATGATGATGATGATGATGATGATGATGATGATGATGATGATGATGATGATGATGATGATGATGATGATGATGATGATGATGATGATGATGATGATGATGATGATGATGATGATGATGATGATGATGATGATGATGATGATGATGATGATGATGATGATGATGATGAATGATGATGAAGATGAGATGATGATGATGATGATGATGATAATGATGATGATGCTTGTAAGCAGGATGCATCAAGATGATGAAGAAGAAGCAGAAGCATCAGAATGAATAAGACAGTCAGAGCAGCATCATCATCATCATCATCATCATCCATCAGCATAATAATCATCTCATCACATCATCATCATCATCATCATCATCATCATCATCATCATCATCATCATCATCATCATCATCATCATCATCATCATCATCATCATCATCATCATCATCATCATCATCATCATCATCATCATCATCATCATCATCATCATCATCATCATCATCATCATCATCATCATCATCATCATCATCATCATCATCATCATCATCATCATCATCATCATCATCATCATCATCATCATCATCATCATCATCATCATCATCATCATCATCATCATCATCATCATCATCATCATCATCATCATCATCATCATCATCATCATCATCATCATCAGCATCATCATCATCATCATCATCATCATCATCATCATCATCATCATCATCATCATCATCATCATCATCATCATCATCATCATCATCATCATCATCATCATCATCATCATCATCATCATCATCATCATCAGCATCATCATCATCATCATCATCATCATCATCATCATCATCATCATCATCCATCATCATCATCATCATCATCATCATCATCATCATCATCATCATCATCATCATCATCATCATCATCATCATCATCATCATCATCATCATCATCATCATCATCATCATCATCATCATCATCATCATCATCATCATCATCATCATCATCATCATCATCATCATCATCATCATCATCATCATCATCATCATCATCATCATCATCATCATCATCATCATCATCATCATCATCATCATCATCATCATCATCATCATCATCATCATCATCATCATCATCATCATCATCATCATCATCATCATCATCATCATCATCATCATCATCATCATCATCATCATCATCATCATCATCATCATCATCATCATCATCATCATCATCATCATCATCATCATCATCATCATCATCATCATCATCATCATCATCATCATCATCATCATCATCATCATCATCATCATCATCATCATCATCATCATCATCATCATCATCATCATCATCATCATCATCATCATCATCATCATCATCATCATCATCATCATCATCAGCATCATCATCATCATCATCATCATCATCATCATCATCATCATCATCATCATCATCATCATCATCATCATCATCATCATCATCATCATCATCATCATCATCATCATCATCATCATCATCTCATCATCATCATCATCATCATCATCATCATCATCATCATCATCATCATCATCATCATCATCATCATCATCATCATCATCATCATCAGCATCATCATCATCATCATCATCATCATCATCATCATCATCATCATCATCATCATCATCATCATCATCATCATCATCATCATCATCATCATCATCATCATCATCATCATCATCATCATCATCATCATCATCATCATCATCATCATCATCATCATCATCATCATCATCATCATCATCATCATCATCATCATCATCATCATCATCATCATCATCATCATCATCATCATCATCATCATCATCATCATCATCATCATCATCATCATCCATCATCATCATCATCATCATCATCATCATCATCATCATCATCATCATCATCATCATCATCATCATCATCATCATCATCATCATCATCATCATCATCATCATCATCATCATCATCATCATCATCATCATCATCATCATCATCATCATCATCATCATCATCATCATCATCATCATCATCATCATCATCATCAGCATCATCATCATCATCATCATCATCATCATCATCATCATCATCATCATCATCATCATCATCATCATCATCATCATCATCATCATCATCATCATCATCATCATCATCATCATCAGTCATCATCATCATCATCATCATCATCATCATCATCATCATCATCATCATCATCATCATCATCATCATCATCATCATCATCATCATCATCATCATCATCATCATCATCATCATCATCATCATCATCATCATCATCATCATCATCATCATCATCATCATCATCATCATCATCATCATCATCATCATCATCATCATCATCATCATCATCATCATCATCATCATCATCATCATCATCATCATCATCATCATCATCATCATCATCATCATCATCATCATCATCATCATCATCATCATCATCATCATCATCATCATCAGTCATCATCATCATCATCATCATCATCATCATCATCATCATCATCATCATCATCATCATCATCATCATCATCATCATCATCATCATCATCATCAGCATCATCATCATCATCATCATCATCATCATCATCATCATCATCATCATCATCATCATCATCATCATCATCATCATCATCATCATCATCATCATCATCATCATCATCATCATCATCATCATCATCATCATCATCATCATCATCATCATCATCATCATCATCATCAGCATCATCATCATCATCATCATCATCATCATCATCATCATCATCATCATCATCATCATCATCATCATCATCATCATCATCATCATCATCATCATCATCATCATCATCATCATCATCATCATCATCATCATCATCATCATCATCATCATCATCATCATCATCATCATCATCATCATCATCATCATCATCATCATCATCATCATCATCATCATCATCATCATCATCATCATCATCATCATCATCATCATCATCATCATCATCATCATCATCATCATCATCATCATCATCATCATCATCATCATCATCATCATCATCCTCATCATCATCATCATCATCATCATCATCATCATCATCATCATCATCATCATCATCATCATCATCATCATCATCATCATCATCATCATCATCATCATCATCATCATCATCATCATCATCATCATCATCATCATCATCATCATCATCATCATCATCATCATCATCATCATCATCATCATCATCATCATCATCATCATCATCATCATCATCATCATCATCATCATCATCATCATCATCATCATCATCATCATCATCATCATCATCATCATCATCATCATCAGCATCATCATCATCATCATCATCATCATCATCATCATCATCATCATCATCATCATCATCATCATCATCATCATCATCATCATCATCATCATCATCATCATCATCATCATCATCATCATCATCATCATCATCATCATCATCATCATCATCATCATCATCATCATCATCATCATCATCATCATCATCATCATCATCATCATCATCATCATCATCATCATCATCATCATCATCATCATCATCATCATCATCATCATCATCAGCATCATCATCATCATCATCATCATCATCATCATCATCATCATCATCATCATCATCATCATCATCATCATCATCATCATCATCATCATCATCATCATCATCATCATCATCATCATCATCATCATCATCATCATCATCATCATCATCATCATCATCATCATCATCATCATCATCATCATCATCATCATCATCATCATCATCATCATCATCATCATCATCATCATCATCATCATCATCATCATCATCATCATCATCATCATCATCATCATCATCATCATCATCATCTTCATCATCATCATCATCATCATCATCATCATCATCATCATCATCATCATCATCATCATCATCATCAGCATCATCATCATCATCATCATCATCATCATCATCATCATCATCAGCATCAGCATCATCATCATCATCATCATCATCATCATCATCATCATCATCATCATCATCATCATCATCATCATCATCTTCATCATCATCATCATCATCATCATCATCATCATCATCATCATCATCATCATCATCATCATCATCATCATCATCAGCATCATCATCATCATCATCATCAGCATCATCATCATCATCATTAGCCAAGATCAAACATACCCTCTCTGCCACCCCCCACCCCCCCCACCCTAAACCTCACCCCCCAAAATAATAGCAAAGAAAACCCCCCCCCAACCGCAATAAAATTGCCCCCTCCCACCAGCAAACCCCACAAGATCACCAGAACACCCCCGAAATCACCTCCACCCCCCGCCGCCGCCATGACATGACACATGTTGTAATCGCAGTATACATACACCAATATTCACAATGATAGAAATCCAAAACGAAGGGCACCAATAATGTCTTTCAGAACGATAATAAAACTATTCAATCCATAGTATACAACACTACTGAAAAATACTCTGTTGGTACTACTTTGTTTGTCTGTAAGTTAGTAGTGGATTGTTAGTTCCGAAGTACTACATTTATAGAAGTATTGATAATCAGGCAAAATCATTGGCTCTAACATTACGGGTGTGAGTAAATGAATATTCAGTTATCAAATGATACTGCTCACTTATCAATAAAATTGACAGAGACTATTACGTGCTCCATCTCATCTCATATAAACCAAGCCAATCTGTTTTGAAATATTTATCAAAAAAACTTGGAAGATAATGCATTTTTACTGTTGATGATAATGTCGTTCAGAAGAACGATGAAAGCTCCACGACCAAACCATCCAGCTCAGAGAACAAAAATCCATCAAAATCATTCACCTGAGCTACAAATCTTCTCCAGCATTTTTACTGTTGATTGATTAAATATAGTGTCCTTGGTTTTAGTGTCTCTTACTGTTAATTTCTGAAAGTGTAAGATAATACAAAACACTGTAAATTTGAAAGTTTGTCTTCGTCGACGACTTTCAACACACTTTCAGAATCTTTTTTCAGTTTACTATATAAGTTTATTTTATTATTAATACCACGCAATGATCACAGTTAAACAACTATGGAAAACCAGGAGGATCTGGACAGATATTTTATTTTAGTATAGGACTTCCCAACAATCCATATCCAGAATCCTACTAAAGATCGAGGCCATGACCTTCAGGTTTTACCATAAGTAATTAGCCCAACAATCCATATCCAGAATCCTACTAAAGATCGAAGCCATGACCTTCAGGTTTTACGGTAAGTAATTAGCCTTTAGATCAGCAAGTCACCACTCAACGGTCTATACATCTAACTTTAATTGATATACGACGTTTCACAACCTGATTTTATAGGTAAGTAACTGCTTCGTACTGAACATGGTAACCAGAGGAGTACAATTATGTTGTCTAGTTCTAAGATTAATAAAATACAGAAATAACTAACTACTGATTATGACAATAAGTAGTACATACAATTCTAAATTTTACGCAAGATAATAACAGGAATTGAAATTACCAACTGTAAAAACACCATTTATACTTACTTCTGGAAAACTATCTTGTAGACCATGTTTTTTATTATATGAACTTAAGTCATTCAATGATATCACTTCACGATTATCTGTATCCAAAGCGAAAAAAGCGTCCAAAAATGAATCCATCTTTAGAAAAACAAAAGAATGGAAAATGAATAACACAAGAAAATGATTTGACAATTTAATTAGTTTCCTTATCCGCTATTTGTCTTAATCATAATTGGAAAAAAATCAAATGAAATTAGAAGTCCATAGTTGAATTCATGAGTCAATTAAAGTTAGACTACCATGGAAAACTTAGAAGCACTGGACGGGTGTTTCGTCCTAGTACAATACTCCTCAGCAGTGCGTATCTAGGCTTTCCATAGTAGTCTAGTTTTAATCAACTATTAAAAATTGCAACAATATCCACAAAACCCTGAAAATGATCATCATTTGCTCACTAATGACTGGCTCCAAGAGGTATTTCATGGAATTCTAGTAAGAAGCCGTGACAAGTAGAGTTCGACCATGTCCGTTCTGTAGCAGTTACTCACAGAAGACAATAATGGGCGGTGGCTCAATTTCATGGATTAGTTGAAGGTAGAAATTAACGCCGTTGAATACCGGCTGGCTTCGTGGTTCTGGGTTCTAATCCTACCGTGCGAGATTTCGGGCGAGCACTACTGTATCGTCTCACAATAGGAAGAAACGGCCGTCCAGTGCTTCCAGGTTTTCCATGGTGATCTGGGTTTAATTAACTCAGAAATTCAATACTACCGATCTGGACGACCACTTATAGGCTTTCGTGAAAAAATCTCCCGAAGCTGATTTTATCCAATCTGAATTGGAAAATAATGTTCATTAAGAAATATGACAGCCATCTTACAATCAATAATCTATAGACCTAGATGAATAGTATTGTAATGTATGCTACTTATGTTTGTCGACATAAGTAATATATAACACCAATCAAAAGTAGAAAATTTGGCAGCAGGATGCTAAGAAAATGGAGTTGAAGAAAACAGAAAAGGAAATAGAAAGGAATTGTGAGTCGGAAGAATCATACAGTTTGTGAAGGACAATTGACGAAATATTTTCAAATGAGTTATTTAATGTCTGGTTTTCACATTTTACCAAAGAGCTATATATATATGACTTAGTCGTGAAGCTTTCATTGTTCTTCTAGAAAACGTCATCATTAGATACTTTATAGAGATGTGAACTAATAGAATTTCTCCTGTTGACATGAAATCTGAATGATCGTTATTTCTGACTTTACATCCCGGATAACATAACACCTCCAAAATATTCCTACCTGAACTGCAAATATTCTTAACCACTTCATAAGCATAATTTGCATCACAATTTGACTTCAGTCAGATAACTTGCCAAAAATTAATAAACACTGACCAGCCGTTTCGTCTTGGTTGAGCACTCTTCAGCCGGTCGGCTGCAACGTAGGACCAGACACATATATGCATCGGTCCAAGTTGCCATACCTCATTAATACAACAAGATAAACACCGAATTCATGAAAGTAGTTACTTCAATGGTAGTAATATATAAAAGAAAGATTGTGTATATGGATATAATACACGGAGAAAGAATTAGTTCGTAGAAATAAATGTATGAATTAATTTTGTTCTCATGGTTTAAAAGAAGACAAAGAGTGTATACATCGACTCCATTGTGATTGATTGTGAACCATATCATTCAGAGTCTCCAACCATCGATTACTATAGTCACACAGACCCCAATCAAGTAATCTGCATTTACCAACACGGCTTAGACTAGAAGTTAGTGACTTTATGAACTGATGCCACGTTTTGATTTGAGCACTTCTCAGTAGTACTCTTTCACATGATCCAAAAACATAGTTTTGTTGATCAGTGTAAATGACAGTTAATCTTATATGAAAAAACAGTCAACCAGCTAAAACTTATTGTTGATTATTTAGTTACTTAGGGTATACAACAAAGCTAGTAAGATTATATGTGCTACAACCACCAAATATAACTGATTTACTAGATTACATAAATGATTCCTTCACCAACGTTAACATTAATCATAATCATTCATTATGACATATATGTAAATTTAAGAAAACTTATGTTTCCGAATTGAATTGAACTTATGTATTATGCAAATTACTACTGAATGTTTAGGGTAGTAAAATACAACAACAACTAAAACATGATGCCATAGATGTTCATATAGCAGGAGATCAGCTAATATTTAATAAAACATCTTGTTTGATTGAATATAGATATATATTCACTATCCAATAAGACTCATATTCACAATTAAATCACTTCATAAACATAAACTCTTGGGATTAAAATCAATAAAATTAGTGATTTACATATTTTATTTCGATTTATCACTCAATTCTTATCAGAAGGGGTTTTGTGGAGATTGTAGTAGTTTCAATAGTTGAAATCATGAGTCAATTGAAGCTAAATCACCATAGAAAACCTGGAAGCACTGAACGGCCACCTCATCCTATTGTGGGACTCCTCAGTAGTGAGCATCCACGATCCCGCACCGTGGTATTCGAACCCAAGATTCACCTATCTCGAGGGCGAACCCTTAACCTCTAGACCGCTGAGCCACCCGGCATCCAACGGTATTAATGTCTAACTTCAACTAATTCACGAAATTGGATGCGCATTGCTGAGGAGTTCAGTACTTGGACGGAACGGCCGTCCAGTGCTTTCAGGTTTTCCATGATGGTCTAGCTTCAACTGATTCATGATTTCAACTATTAAACTCACTCAATTATTAATTATTAATATGTAAATATGTATGTAACTAAATATTGAATGATCAATACAATTGAAAAAAACAGATTTAATCAATGAATAGAATATTTTATTGCAAACTATGAAATGAAATTCACTTTGATCTCATACAGTGTGCACAGTGTGCCAAATCAGTAACTTAGCAACGTTACTACTACTACCACATTACTAGTAGTAGTATTAAGGTTATTGATATGTATCCTAAAATATCGTTGAATTATGCTAATTATTATCATTTTCACAATAATCTTATTTAAACTTGTTGATTATTGTAGCTAAACGAGGAGTCGTAAAGGTGGATATGATGATTTAATGAAGTAAACTGCAAATAAATCTGCTGAGTGGTTAAAGTTAGTTAACAGCAAATGCTGGATATAGGCTACTTGATATTTAGCACTCCAAATTGACAGTGAGCTATTCGGGTCGCGACCGACCTCCTATATTACTGAGATAATCCAAAGTTGCTTGGTCGCTGCTTAATGACCTATGTAATATTTCCCTAATAATTTCAGTATTGATCAAATTCTATAGATTAAACTGCAATGTGTCCACTAGTCTATATGATTCAGCATCGTGTGGACTATGCTGAGATACTAGGTTGTTTAAATTGACTGACAGGAAAATCCATACACAGATTTTAAGCTAGTTACTTAGTAGGAATTAGTAAGAAGGATCAGATTGGTAGCTACTTGGTGATTAGTTAGTTTTAATAGATCCTTGTTGTTCGTTTCTACATATGATATGAGATTCATGCGGCATAGACTATAATTTGAAGTTGGTGTGCACAAAAGGCCCTATAGACTTCATTTGTATTCAGTGGGTTATAATATAAAGAATTCTTGAAGTCTAACATCTTTTTAACACTAGTGAAGTATCAATAATCTACAATATTTTACGTTTTCTTTTCTATTATTAT